GATGATGTAATCGCAATCTTTATATTGACACATGATCGACGATGATAATCCAATAACGGCGATGCTTTTGGAAATAATGATATTGATATGATAAAGACCATGATGTAAACCTGTTTAGTGTGACGTTAAATGGGCGTGTTTACAAGGTTTTTACGTCATATAAACTGGTCACGAGGATCTTTGATTTTCACGTTAATCCTCCTCTTTCTACCTCTCATCCTAATACTCCTCCTCTCCTCGTGCTATCTAACATATATATATCCTATTTTCTCATACTCCTTTATACCCCACCTCATCCCTTCCTCTTATTGCCTGTCCCTCCTCCTTCTTTCCTTGCCTCCTCTTCCTTCCTTCCCATCTTCTTCCTCCTACCGTCCTCCCTCTTTCCTTTCCTCACTCCTCTCCCTCCTCCTCTCTCTCCCTCTGCCTTCCTCCTGTGAAAAAACAACTGTCCCGATCCAGAAGTTTTCATGAGCGTTGTCCGCGCTTCCGATGCTTGGTAACAGGATGCGTGTAGGAGGGGTAGGGGAGAGGGAGGGGAGGCGAGGAGGGGTTTAGCGGGAGGGGAAGGGGAGTAGGGGGAGGGGAGGGGGAGGCGAAGAGGGGGGTTGTGGAGAGGGGAGAAGAGGAGGGGGGTTGTGGGGAGGGGAGAGGAGTAAAATGGTTCCTGCAAGCTGTTACAGAGAGTTGGGGAAGGGAATTTGGGAAGGCGGGTGGGGTGAGGTCGGGTAGTAGGTGGGTTTAGAGGAAGGTGGTTGGGGAAGGGGGGAGATGGGGGGGAGGTGACGGAGGAGGGTGGGTGGGTGGGGGTAAGGTTGCTGTATGAGATAATTTGGATACGTAAGAGGGTGTTGGAAGGAGGGAGGGTGCGAGGGGAAGGAGGGAGAAGGAGGAGGGGACGGAGGAAGATGGAGGGGAGGTAGGTAGGAGGTTGTGAGGAGTAGGAGCGGAGGAGGAGTTTAAGAGAAGGAGGAGGAGGGAGGCAGAAGACAGGAAGAGCGACGATAGACGATGAGAAGAGGAGGAGTGTTTGTTTGAGTTGTTTTTTTTTTAGGCAGGGGGGGGGGAGGCGAGGAAGGAGTAGGGATACGAGTATTTTGGAGAGGGAGGTTGGGCGAGGAGGGGGGATGAAGGAGAGCGACAGTAGGAGAAGGAAAAGGGGGGAGGAGAGGGAGGTAGAGCGGGATGGAAGAGGGAGGAGGGAGAATGATGCTAGGAGAGAAAATAACGAGACAGGGAGAGAGTGGGAAATAATTGAGGGGCAATGGGAGAGCGAAGGAGAGAGAAGGTCGAAAGAGAAGAGGAGAGAGAGAGGAGAGGAGAGAGAGAGGAAGAGAGAGAGAGAGAGAGGCGAGAGGAGAGAGAGACGAGAAAGACGAAGACGACAGAAGACAGACAGACAGACAGACGCGATCCGGAGACAGACACAGAGACGAAAAAAAGGCAGCGATCAGAGAAAAAAGTGAGAGACCAAGGGAAGAGAGGGGTAGGAAACGAAGGGTTAGAACAGAAAAGCAGAAGAAGAAGGGGAGGGACGGAAAAGGAAGCGGAACGAATGTTCTAAATACGGAGACAATTCCGAGGAAAGATTGAGATAAGCAATCTGAAGTGCTTAAATACTGTTATTGATAAACTTTTTCACCCTCCCCCGCCCCGCCTTCTTCTCCTCCCTTCCTCCCCGCGAATATCCACAACCCTTCCCTTACCACTCGCTCCATGCGAACCTCCTACGCTTCTCCCTCTTCCTGCCCCGCACCCCAACCCACGCCCTTCCCCTCCCGCGATAATCCCCCCCACGAGCTGGGAAACACGGTGAAAATAAACTCGCTCTCAGGTGTTTTACGGGTTTCAGAGAGAGAGAGAGAGAGGAGAGAGAGAGATGAGAGAGAGAGAGAAGAAGAGGAGAGAGAGAAGAGAGAAGAGAGGAGAGAGAGAGAATGAGGGTGATTTGTGTGTGTGTGTGGTGTGTGTGTGTGTGTGTGTGTGTGTGTGTGGTGTGTGTGGTTGTGTGTGTGTGTGTGTGGGTTGTGTGTGTTGTGTGTCTTTGTATGTGTGTGTGTGGGTGTGTGTGGTGTGTGTGTGTGTGTGTGTGGTGTGGGTGTGTGTGGTGTGTTGTGTGTGTGTGTGTGTGTGAGAGAGAGAGAGAGAGAGCGAGAGAGAGAGAGAGAAGCGAGAGAGAGAGAGAGATGAGAGAGGGAGAGAGAGAGAGGGAGAGAGAAAGAGAGAGAGAGAGAGAGAAGAGAGAGAACGCGGCGAGAGAGAGAGAGAGAGAGGAGAGAGAGAGATACAGAGAGGGAGGGGGGAGAGTGAGAGAGAGAGAGAGAGAGAGAGAGAGAGAGAGAGGAGAGAGAGAGAGAGAGAGAGAGAGAGAAGAGAGAGAGAGAGAGAGAGAAAGAAAGAAAGAAAGAAAGAAAGAAAGAGAGAGAGAGGAGAGAGGAGAGAGGAGAGAGAGAGAGAGGAGAGAGAGAGAGAGAGAGTTGTGTGGTGTGGTGTGGTGTGTGTGGTGTGTGTGTGTGTGTGTGTGGTGTTGTGTGGTGGGTGTTGTGAGAAGAGGAGAGAAGAGAGAGAGAAGAGCGAGAGAGAGATAGAGAGAGAGAGAGAGAGAGAGAGATAGTGAGGGAGAGAGTGAGTGTGGTGAGAAGAGAGAGAGAGAGAGAAGAGGGAAAGAGGAGAGAGAGAGAGAGAGAGAGAGAGAGAGAGGAAGAGAAGAGGGGGGGGGGGGGGGGAGGGGGGGAGGGGGGTGGTGGGGGGGTGGGTGGGGGGG